CAAGAAGATTCGACACCCCTCTGTGTGTCTTCCAGGCCGCCTGGCAGGGACACGTCGCAGTGTTGCGTCTTCTAGCAGACGAAGGAGCGGCGTACAGAGGACCAGGAAGTTGCAGAGATATCACTTGGGTCTCTGGGACTTGGGTTGAGTTTGGCTTAGATTCTGTGCCTTGATTGATGCGGTCCATACCTGTGGATCCCAGCTCGGCCGGAGATGTCTCGATAGTGTGCCCAGGGTGAGGCCAGTTGAGCGGTTTGATTGTGCAGTTGGCCTGCGAGCATCTCCGCAGCCGGAACGAAGGGCCCTCCATGCAAAAGGACCAAACGCTTGCTGCACATTTCTGTAGGCACGCCAGTTTCGGGCATGAGTAACGAGCCTAGAGCCGAATAAAAACGGCATAGCAGGCTTAGGCTTGTCATGGCTTGCCTCTGACTTTGTGCGGACCTCATACCGTCGCTCGTTTGCACGGCAGGCGCCTCGATCTTCGCTCTCAAGGCAGGCCTCGGAGAAGCACTGAACTGAAGATTATCCGGACAAGGCGAAGCCCTTGCGATGGCATTCTTTTCAAGCTAACACTCGGACTGCTCAGCAGAAGCATCTCAATGAAGTGGGGGGCTGGCTTGCTTTTGAGACACAGCTTGTCGAGGATGACGGGGATACTGCGCTTGCGCTGGCTGCCTTCCGGGGGCATTTAACCTCGTCCGGGCGCCCGGCGGGAGGCGTCACATCGGTGATGTGAACGGGCTCAGTACATGGAGATTCTGCATCTTTCTGCACGCAGACCGGCTGTGTGGCTGCTTGGTCCGGCGGTTCGGCCTGAGGGCTAGCAGCTGGTTTCATTCACTGAAGATCGGCATTTCAACTAGAAGTTCATAGCACGTTGCCTCGCAATCTCCGGACTCCACAATGCCGGCCGCCCCGTGCAAGAGACGGAAGCAAATGTCCAATTTGCGCCCAGCAAAGTTGATGCCTGGATCCGGCGATGTTGACTAATCGCAAGGATACGTTCGGGCTAGTGAGGCTAGTGGACATCAGTTTTTCGCTGACAGGATCGGGTTGGGGCACTTTCTTGGTTAGGTCACAGTGTGTCCAACCAGCATGCGCTGACACAAAAGGAGCCAAACAAAATACATGAAATGCCTAGAGGCGCAGCACAGGTTGGAAGGCATCTCGCCGAAATGGACTAGAAAATTACCGTGAAGTCTTCGAAAACGACAGCGGCTTCTGCAATTGTGGGAGCACTGGCGAGCTACCATCGGGACTGCAATGGCTAGATAGAGCTAGTATCGCTGCTGCTTGTACTACCTGCATCTTCGCCTCAGAGTCTCTTCTATCAGATCTTAGCCGTTCCATGTTTCTCCAGTGCTTGACTTGTTGTCCCAGGTGTCGAGAATTGCTGTCGCGCATGACGGCGGGGGGCTCTTTGCTTGCTTCAAAATGTTCTAAACATACTGACGGTTAGGTCGGTCCCAGGATGTCCCAGGCCTCCAGGCATATCTTCGTGACTGGAGTGGTTGCAGGACGTCCCAGTTGATGAGGTATTGTCACATGAGCCACATGCCGGGCCAGGAGTGCAGGAAGCGGCTGATGGGCCTCGTGTCTCGTGTGCGTAAACGTGTTTGTTTGAAGATCTGACAGCTTCAGTTCGCTGCAACCTCATGCTGAGGCCTCGGGTGATAGTGATGCGTCCTTCTGCTTGCAACTCGGTCGTCTTGCACCGTTGTGCGAAGAATTTCATGTCATGTCGGGGAGTTACTGTTTCACACTCATGTCTGCCGAGCATGTTCAAGCCACGTGACGACACTGCAGCCACCAGTTTAAGTGGTGAGGGCATCTAGCCGGATGCTTGCTGTGATGCTTTGTTCTCGCGTGGCTTGTGCCGAGGGCAGAGGGTCAAAAACTACTACGGCCACAACCTTAGCCCAGCATATGCAGTTCAAGACAGCTTGCGGTGCTCCAGCCGGCAGGACGTTGAATCCTGCCCAAATTCTTGCACAGGATTCTTCGTCCTCATTGCACGCGCGGTCGATTGACTTCTGCTCTTTATACCCCACCGAAGCCATTGCAAATTTCTCTCCACAGTGCATGGAAACGGGGAATTCCTAGGTTGTGGCCCGCTCCACTGTGGTGCGAGCAGAGCGGGCCCTGGATTCCGATAGCATGGCCCATGTTCAAGACTTGAAGTCGCGGCACTCACTGCCAAGGTGGCAATGCCGAGGTGGTCAGGCCATGTCACGCAATTGAACCTTTGAGAAAGCGTATTTGGGCTTTTAGGGCCTTGGGCTCGGAGGTTGGAGAAACACTGTGAGATCCAGCTGCAGTGCTTCAAGTTCATTTGTTCCACCTCCCGGCCCTGAAACCTGGAGATCCCCTAAGAACATGGCACCGGCAGGTTGCTCCTCGATGCCAAAGCACCCGTTCGTGAGGAGAGTTCGCAGGAGGCCCCGATTTGCGCCGGGTCTGCCGGGCAGGTGGGCTGTAAACCAGCCGGGTATTGAAGTTGGGGTCCGCGTGGGATATCTTGGGACCATGTGCATGGCAGGAGACCGTGCTTCATCGTGCGATCCACTCCGGATCCCAGGCCAGACTGATCTCGAAGTTGTCAGAGGTTTTGCGGATTTGGGCCACGTTGCACACAGCTCGATCTTGAACCTAGCTTTTTGTAGGGGATTTGGGCCTGCAGATCGGGCAAGTTCATGAAAAGTAAGGTCTGTCTTCTAGGATTTTCAAGCAGGGTGTTCCCAGCCCCAGCACTTTCGCACGCATTCTTGGAGACATGACCCCGGGCTTCAAAGGTCTGCGATCTGCTCCAAGGCTCCATAAGGTACCCTGAGATAGTTCCTCCTCGAAAAAGGTATCACAAGCCTCTCGTTGATCAAGGCTTCGACAAAATGGGATGCCAGGCCCGCTAGGCATGTTTCTACAGCTGCTATAACGACTTATAGTGGCAAGACCCCTGCCTAATCCAAAACGGCCACTTCCATGCAGTTGACATGCTGAGGCGTGCGTAGAGTTGCTTCTGCAGAGCAGCTGCCCGTTGGAGGCATTGTCTACTTGCTTCAACTGTTTGCATGCCTGCATTTGCGTATGCGTACTTGTTTGTATATTATCACGTTTGTTTGCCCGTTCGCCATGCGTATGAATGCATGTGCATGTGAAACATTATCAGATGCACAAGCACATACATGGAATCATGTGTTTTCAGAGGTGCGAATCCCTGACATGGTCTAGAACTGCAGCGAAGGGTAGTCAAAATCCATCCCTCACGATTGCTCTTGTGCTTGACAGCTACTCGTATGCAGAGGTGGCTAGCAGACAGCGTTTGCAAGAACTCGCCTAGCCATGTAAGTGATTACGGATGGAATTGAACCGCATGCTTGACTCAATCTGAAACTGTGTACATGTACGTTTACAGATATATACAAAATATACACATTTTTGTATGTATATATATATATACAGACGTATATATGTCATGTATACATATGTGCTGATGTGTATATGTAAGTAACTGCTCTTTGTATTCATGTGTTTGTATCTATATTCATCCGCGGTACGGATGGTCACTTTCTTGGTTTTGTCGCAAGCCAGCTGAAGACACCAGGACATCACTTTTCTTTTCGCAGTATTCAGAAACATGAGAAGCAGAAGCAGTCGATGCAGGAAAATTGCGGCTCCTAGTCATGATAAGAGGGAACTCTTCTTTCGAACCAAAAGCAAGCGTCAGTAAAACAGGTCCGGTTCTGATCGCGGCAATTGAGAAAGTTACTTTAGCATCATGTCTCTGAACCCTGTTCACTGGCACTTTCGGAGGTATCGAAGCATTGAATGATTCGAGAGCCACTTCCAAACGCTTGACTCTATACTGGCAGAAACATCAGCATGACATACAATCATCGAGCGACTGGCAGATCCTAACTACCATATGGACGGGAGGAATGCATAAGCTGAGTTGAAAGCCGGGTTATTTCAGAGACTTGCGACCCTGTCTATGGCACAGTCTGCCGACTGTAAGTTGTTCTTGATTGCCAACAAATGCTTGCACTTGTTTGTATGACCGGATCAGAACTGAAACGAGCTGAACTTAAACGAAAACTTGGCGCTGCGCGTTGCAGCAGATTGACGGCAGTTTTGCCGATCTCCTGAGGGCCACAAGTCAACTTCCAAAATTGATGGCACCACGCCCAGAAAACCGCAGAGTGCAAATCTGGATGACCCAGCGCAGATGGGAACATCGAAGAATGCAATGAGTTCTACACGACCACGAACGTTTGAGCGATTAGACGGATGAAGAAGGTGTTGGGAACTCGTACTCTCTCCTCATGCTCCGGTGCACACTTTGGAGCAGGGAGAGTCAGAGAAAGACCAAGCACGACCCCGTCCAAGTGATCGGTGATAGCAGCATGCAGCAATCAACCGTCAAGATTGCTTCTGACCAGCTCTAACGAACCTCAGCTCTCGAGGTAGCAGTTATTTTGGGACTTTCTTGCCGGCTCAACCGAGTGCAAAGCGCGGTCGCTGTAGTAGTGCACACTGGTGAGAAGTTCGACGGTCAAGCAACGCCACGACGTGCACTGATGCAGTCGCCATTTGTCGCGGCACCTGTAGCTACAAAGCCGGTGGAAGCCTCTTCAGCGTGCGACAGAACTTTCACTCCTCAGGCACCTCTCGCATAGTGGTGTTCGGCAAGGGGTTTCGGGAAGCGAGAGCTGGCGGGACAAAGGCGGTCTGCAGAAACCATTACCCCATGTAACTACCAACCAAAAACAGTGATGCAGCTTTTCGAGGTTGGAATTCTTGAGCAGCTAGGCATCCGGTCCGGGTACTCATTAGACATCAGCGACTCCTGAAACTTGTTCCTCTAAATTACCCCGTGTGATTCCGCCTCGGCTAGCAGCCGATGGGGGCCGGCTACAATAGAGGCGGTTTCAATTCATCAGCCATGGAATTGGTCTTTTCACTTGCAGGTGCCTCGTCCAAACGATGCATCAACACCTCTGATGATGGCTGTGCTGGACGGGCAAAAAACTCAGCTAGTCGATGTGCCGGGCTCACAGCCGTCGTGCGTCGGCCCAGGTACACGCGAATCGCCAAGGTGCTCTTGGAAGCCCGGGCTTGCCTGGAGCGTTGTCGCGCAGATGGTTTCGACCCCAGCTAGCCCGGACAGCACGGAGGTCAGCGTCGGCTGAGGACATGACACAAGATGACGTAGACAAGAGGCTGCAGCTACAGTTACACAGAGTACTGCTGAATTTCTCCAATGTCTACCAATAGCTTCGACCTACGACGATGACACGTTGCATTTCCCGACACGCGCTGGAATAGATCGGGTTCTTGTTGCCTCCGACCCTGCTCTAAGCTGCGGCTCGCAGCCATTGCGCGAAGATGTTTCTAAGTTCTAGCCTTAAGTGACCGCCTTAGCTGCACGCCTTACGCACTGTCCTTTCGGAGAGCAGCTGTCGACCGTCGAGCTTTCCTTGGCTAAGGCCTGAGCCCATTGCATGCTGCCGTGCTGCGAGAGGCTACCCTGCCCCCTCGCGCAGGCCCTTGCCCAGCTCAAAGCCAACTAGAGTAACTAGAGTTAAAGATGGGAGACAATGCGCCTCGCCAGGCGAAGCTTCGATGATTGCATTGTTGGCAGAGGCCAGGGCCGATCCTGAGGCCAGCTCAGTCGGGTTCCGCGTTCTCATTGCATTGCATCGGAGAGGTCCTCCACGCCGAGGGCTAGCGCGGGTTTTGTTGCTGAAGCCGGTTTGCCCTTGAGTCTTCTTGCTGTTGACCTCGCAGCGTGTCCCGGCAGACCTTCAGAACTGCGCCGCCGGGACAGATGTGCTTTTTTGTTGCACGGGCTGTCCGACTTATCTTGCCGTAGCACGAGACAGGTGGAGCAGCTGACCATTCACTGCTGATGAGACTTGGTAACTCTGCAGCTGCACAGGTGCGAACAAGACAAGGGGTGTCACCGCTATCCCTTCTGATGAGCTCGTCCGTTAATGCAGCTGCCCCAGATGGTTTTCATGATCAGTTCGAACATTCAGTACTTTGCGCTTTTCGGCCTTGTACTGGGACTTTTCCCAGCCTTGCCGGCCACAGCTGGGGCTTCGGGTCGCCAATGGGGTTCATCCCAGCATGCAGCAATCGACCCAACTCAGCTTGCAAAGCATCGAGGAAAGAGATTCCATCAACCTGCAGAAGCCAAGCGAAGCCGATGAACTCATTCGGACAAAGACAGAGTCTGGACCAGTGCTTCCAGTGCTTCACTGAAGAGCAGCCCAACAACGTTCTGAGGTCACAGAGCAGATTCTAAAGCCGGTCCAAGTTGTCGTTCAGCTGTTCGTCAAGACGACACAAGACAGGTTAGTTGCGGCTGTTGCGTACATGGTGGCTTGTAAGTCGCATGCCCTGTGGCCAGAAAAACTTGAGTGTGATGCATGGGACTCAGAGAGCGCACCCTTCATACGCGTAAGATGTCCGAAGGCTCCGCACCGAAGCACTGCCTTGCACAACCTGATCGACATCAAGGCCGGTCATTGTTTTGCAGGAGCTTCGCATCATCGCCGTGAGCCCTTCTCCACACGGTAGGTTTGGAAGTTGTGACGTTCGTAGCCTGCGACATCTATAGGTGCCATCTGCGGCATCGATGGCCTTAGCTGCAAAGCTTGTCTGCGAAGAGACACCCCACCCCATACACCCTCTTCTGCTGCATATCGCCGCGGGCTATTGCCTGCCACATTGTACTCAGGCAGATGTGAACCGGCCCATTGCGCAAGCAACTGAGTTCATGGCTTGTTGGGACTTGGTATTGCGGCTTCGTTGTCAAGGAAGGCTGTGGGGGAATGGTAGTTGGTCTTCGAGGGCAGGTTGACGTCTAGCTCCGACAGTTGTCAGCCGTTTGGCGAGAAGCCAAACCTAAACACAAAGGGCGGCCATCGCCGACTGATGTGTTCAGTCACATGGTTGAAGGTTTCAAAAAGAGCGACTTGATGCTAAGCTGCTTCCTCGAATATCCTCGAATGCAGCTGGGGCGACCAGCCTATAAAGTACATTCGTCCATGGGGTCCAGTGGCATGTCAGATTGCACACCCTGGTGGTGTGCTGCGACTGCGAATACGCGATATGGCTGCTGTGGGGATTGGCTGCTGTCGCATGTACTTTGCTTCCAACTTCGGTGTGCCGCCTGTGACTAGACCAAGGGGAGACGGCACGCGTCCTCTTCATGCTACGGCCGCGAGCTGAGATTGTGCAGCAGACACAAGAGAGCAGACCACCGATGCCTGCGGAGACATGAGACGGGAAAGCATGGATGGGGTCCGGAAGTCCCTCACAAAAATCGGCGCAGCGCATTGAGATATGTGTGTCGGGGCTTTTCTGCCTCTATCCTTAAAGTCTGATGGCACAGAAGCATTGCAATTGGCGGCATGTTTCACAAACGCACGCATGCAGTTTTTTTTTATCGAGAAGCACAAAAGGAATAGTTTAATAGTTGCAGAATTTTCCAGGCTCGAAAGCACAGGAGTACGATAGTTCGCATCGTTTGCACCGTTTGAGAGTATTGATCTGCTTCAGTTTGAAGCAGTGCCATATGAGAGTATGCCGGTGCTTTCCAAAGCGGCAAGCTCCAGGAAGATATGGTCTTCGAGTGCGCTTCAGCACGGCGCATTGCGAGCTTTTGAGTTGCAGCGGTTCTTGTTGAAACTGGGCATGCTATTCCGGCGACACTTATCCGACCAGTAGTACACGTATATGTATCATATCCAAAAATATACCAAATATAAATATATATATATATATA